CCCCCCCGTGGGTCCAGACTGAGGTCAGGCCACACCCTCCTCCCCATGAGACCAGATTGGGCTGGGCCACACCTTCTTCCCCCCACAGGCCTAGGTTGAGGCCAAGCCTTGTTGCCTTTCCCTCTGTGGGGGCCAGGTTGGGGTCAAGTCACACCCTGTTCCTCCCTGTTGGGATAGTTCAAGCCCCTTTCCCCCCTGTGGGGCCAGGCCTTGCCCCTTCTTCTGCAGGGCCAAGTCAAGCCCCTTTCCCTTGTAGGGCCAGATTGCAGCCAGGCTGACCCCAACACCCCATCCCCTTCTGCACAGCCAGATGGTGCCCATTGGGTCCACCCCAGGCACCAGATCAGGACCACTGGCTTGATCTGACCCAGACAGGGTGGGCACTGCCGATCTGTTCTGCTAGTGAAAAAGATTGAGCAGCACTGGTTTAGACCATTTAATGGTCATTCATTTGCTTGTGTTATGCTCTACAATTAAGAGATGATTTACCTGACTCTCTCATGCGGTATTTATTAGAAAAGTTTAATATGTTGTTCTTAGATTTCTCAATAATTCTCCACTGGACTATAAATACAGATTTTGTTTTAACTCTATTGATTTTTACTTTAACAGATCAAGATGATAGACAAGCAACTGATGCCATCGAATCCATAATAACTGACAGTGATGATTGTATTGTTCCAAGCCCATTGTCCAAGAGTATCAAACAGGTCAGTCAATATTTTTATGGCAATTAAATTATTTTTGATAAATTAGGTAAACCTAAGGAAAATAGTATTCAGCTTCCTGTAAAATAGTGAAATAGTGCCAGATTTTCAAGGAGTCTTTAATTTCAGTAGGTTTCTATGTTTTCAAATTCAAATACACTGAGACCCCATCTACATGTTACACTTAAGGCATGATTAGCAGGTAATCTCATGACTGAAGTTGTAACCCAGCCACACATTTAATCAATTAATGGCATTGTCACGGCGGGGTCCGCCAGGAGGGCCGTGATCTCCTTGAGGTCCCTCGCTCCGTGTCAAGGCCGGCCCAAGACACCCTCTTATTCTCGCCCGCCACGTCTTTGCTGTTTATATATAAG